AGTCACCCCCTGCCCCTTGTCTAAAGCTCATCTACTTTATATCTAGTCCAAAGTATCCCCTTCAAAATAACTATTTACATCCTTCAGTTAACAGAAATTTGTTCCACAAGTAGGCCAAGGAAAAAATTCTTCTCAAGGCTAGATTCTCATGAATTTTTAGACTAGGAAAGTGTTATTTTGTTTGATGGACTTCCTATAGAAAAACAGTTCCATTAATCCATAGAATATTAGACTGTTTACTATACAGTCATCACAGAAAAAGTTTAGGCTTTTTTAAAAAATAAACACATGCTTATAAGATTCACTTAAAATCAAAGGTGTTTCATTCGGTGACGTAGAACAGTACGAGAATCTAGTCTGATCTCACCAATGACACTGCTTTGAGCAGGAGGCTGCACTACATGAACCTGCAGAAATTGCTTCCCACCCCAGTAATTCTTTTGATTCTACGATATATAGATGTTCACCACAGGCTCATGTCACAATTCAGGAAGCAAGGAAGCTTAAAAGAGAAGCTACAGATTTCAACAAGCTGTCAATATTATTATACACAAGTTAATTCTTGTATGCCCTCTCATCTACAGCCTCCACATCTCGTTTCAGAAATTTTTATTTAAAATTCCCTTAACAGACTTACCCAATGTTAGAAACATTGCTCGTTATATAATAGCAGACTCAAAATAAGTAAAAGCCTTTTAACTACAGAAAGTTAACAGTTCTGTGCAATACTTCCAAACCACCTTGTCAAATATGCATTGAAGTTGCCTCTCCATTTGCTGTAAGATTACATAAAAGGAGTGCAAAGCGAGCTGTTACATAAACGGCACCTCTGCTGAGTCTGTATTCATTCCGACACCCTCTAAACTGAGTTGCACTCTGTGTTAGTGTTGTCCAGTTCCATTTACTTTTAATTGGCACGGGCTGACCCGATCATATTTTAGAGAGAACAGGAGATTGATATAGGAAATATAATTTTGTATGCAAAATAATCCTTGTTATCTTCCCAACCCATAGTCTGCTATATGTTAGCTCTTTGTATCATAACTTAGCCATTTCTTAAGAACTATTTACTCTTCAACATCAAAATCCTTCCTTCCCCCATTTTCAGTAAAATGGATTCAAACGCAGCCAATAAAAGCAATCATTCTTTACAACACAAACACTTATTTTGTAATTACTTACCATTTCTATTTATTTCCCTCTGTAAAAACCTTTATTCCAGGAGAGCTTTTGTTCTTCAGAACCTAGTTACAAGAGCTTATAAAATGCTCTTTTTATTGCAAAATGCTCATTTTAAGTGCTTTACTACTGGCAGAAGGACTTGGCGTGTTTGACAGAGGTAGCTAAAAGAGGCTGCAAACGGCACCGCATAACCGAGCAGCCAATTACTGTACATGACAGGAAAGCCTGAGCTGATTCACAGGTGCAAAGGCTGCCCCACTGACTGCAGCACGAGGAAGAATGCCATGGTTATTTTCAGAAGTTGCACACAAGCCAGATGAATGCATCACAGCAAATTTAACATTAGGTAACATAAGTCTTTAAACCCCCGTTCACACGCCCCCCCCTCCCAAAAAGAAAAACAAGCTCCCCACAACCCACATCCAAACAGTTCTCTCATAACTACATTAAGCACAACTCTCTGAAAGGGTGGGCTTTTTTAAAAATAGTATCATTTTTATGCAGGGGAAAAAAAAAAACCTTCCTCATAGGCAGCAGTTCCCTCATTTCCCTTTGTCTTCTGAATTATCAGGTTTATATTCATCAAAACTCACGTAGTGCTATGCCAAACAAATCCCGCATTGTCTAGAAATGTCTGTTCTGCGCTTTACACTACAAAGAGAAGCAGAATAAAGACAGATTAATTTTTGAAATGACTTTAGTTCATTCTGTTGAATTCATTTCTGTTCAGATTTGGTGCTTTTTCCACAGGTGGTGTGGCACCAGATACCTGCACTTATAAATTACCTGAGCATTTTTGTTGTACACATCTTTAAGAACAGCCATTTAACATTTTCCATATGCTAAGATTTTACTTTCTTGGTTTGCCTTTATGGACAAGTTCGCCTTAAGTTCAAAATTCCCACTCCTATCCAATTTTTCCAATACCACAGAGAAACATCTATCTAAGCATAACTGCTCCATTACCTTACAGTTAGTCAGAAGCTGGCCAATTCCCAACTTCTAAGTGCTTTGCTATTAACTCTGCATGCAAATCCTCGTTTGTGTTAGACTGTTACAAATGTTATAACAACAATTACTGCTGGACAAAGATAGCACGGACTCAAATGAAAGCAAAGGAAACCTTGGCCATTTTTACCTCAGAATTTCTCTGAAAAAGTCCCACACGAGATCAGCACAACCAATCTTTCTCTAAACGGTACCATACTCACACTTGTACTGCATTTGCTAGAGCACTGTCCGTATGAAAGGCTCATGTACCTCGACACGTGATACACTGAGGAAGATGAGGGAGAAGAGGCACCAGGAGGAGACGAGCACCAGCGCCCATGCTGCCCAGTGCCGGTGGCAGCTGTTCCGTCCCACCGTGCCTCTAGCGCAGCCACCATGGCTATCAGCACCGAGCAGGCTGCTCGCTCTTCACTGCTGCTGCTGGCGATGGAGGCACTGCAGACAGCTGGCCACAGCTGGAAGGAACCAGGCTACCAAGAGCACACAGGTACAGCATCGCCACTGAGATACCACCACCCAACGCCGTGCCAGCAAAAAGCTCTGAGCAGCACAGGGGGAATGACTCCAGTTACCACCTGGTCTGTACATCATAACCCCAAATCTATTCCAAAACTTCCAATTCTGGGGTAGGCAGGGAACAGGAAGGTATTTTAATTCTGGATTGTGAAATATGCACTTTTATGAGGAATTTCTGAGAATACATGAATAGCTTTATTCAAATAAATAATTCCCATATTTTTCAAGTTTAATATTAAAGCAAAAATCCATGGGCATAGTTTAAATAAATAAATCCCATTAATGCATTCATAATTATCTCTACACCTACTTTGATCATCTCTACTTATTTCTGGGTAAAAAGTTTCAGGAAATACACTACCTTTCCATTACCTTTAGGTATCAGTTGTATGACATGTCATGCAAAACCATACCAGCCTTATTCAAGCACTTACTGGAAAGATGCACAAAGGTCACAATAACATCATGAATATAAAAATAGCCACAAGATACTTGCTTAGATAAATTTATTAGTGCATAGGTTAGAGATTTACTTCCCCTCCAATATTAACAGAACAAAGAGGTTCATGTAATAAACAAGCTTTGTTTTGTTTTAAAACAAACTCATTGAGGCAGCTATATAACAAGTAAAAAGTACGGAGTGGCCTAATCAAATTTCTGGTCTTGACTGGCAAATTATTGCATTATAAATAAAAAAATTCAACATGACAGGATTTTGGGGGTCATTTTAGGTAACCAGCTGTTAAACAGCAGAACTGATTTTTTCCCCCCAATCTCATTTGTCTATCTGTATAAATAATATTTACTGATAAAAATCTAGAAAACTATAGAATAAAAATATATTTTACCTAGAACGAATACTAAGGCAACCAATCTTTCCTTACTTTGCATGTAAACTTCCTCACAAACATCGGTGAGTGTTCCGGACTTAGAGGTAAAGAAATTTGTTCATCAACGAAGCCAAAATTTTTCAAGCGACTTCTTTATGGCTGACTTGCAAAAAGACCAATAATAATTTTTTTTTTCTTTTTTACACGTTTGACATCTGAATAGCTCCAGCACATTCACAGTATATTTGGACAGCAAAGCAGGAATATTGATACATACAATATAAATTGTAAACTTTGCTGAATTTCATTAAGTCAGACTAAATTATAGTTTACTGAGTAACTTTGATCTCAGACACTTTCAGCAAAACGTAAGTTTAAGGACTCTAACCATTTAGGACCAAGTTACTGCAGTGAACATTATAGTTGAATATTTGGAAACATTGACAAGCGTAGTTTTAGACTGTGTTTAAAAAGGCACACATACTTTCCTCTAATCCTCTTACAGTGTAAATATATCTACATATCTACATGGATATCCTTAAACAATGAGAAGTCAAAAATTCAAGTTACAAATATTTTACACACAAAATACAAAAATAACCTGTAACATTAAATGCAGTTATTTGGTTACATTTGAAGTCTTTCAAGTCTTGCAAGCTAGCATTACAACAGGTATGTAGATACTAAAACACTTCATATATGTTATATGACACATACCTTTCATAACAAATCAGTGTCTTAGTTTGTATTATGTTTCAGACTTTTCTGAGGAGTTTATCCCCATGTGCTATATTCACACATCAACATTAGCAAGCTACTGAATAAGAAATCTTGACTTGGCTTTAGAGAGAGAAAGTGTAATTTTTGTCAAATTCATATGAACAATGAACTAAACTGATCCACCAGTTTCCTTTGCACAAGGATTATTTGTAAAATTATCTGCTCAAGTTCAAATTCTGTGTGCTTCACTACTGCGTTCTTTTACCAGAAATGTTACAACTAACTTTTGTTATAAAGGCAAGTAAATATTTAAAGCAATTAACCTTAGTCACATTGAAAGAAAAAATAAAAAAACCTGGGAAGTGTAAAAAAGTTTGTTGTTTTTCTTCTCAAGTGTAATGCATAGGCTGACAGTTAAATAAGTAGTCTTTTCAGGGTAAAATATTTTAGCACTTATTGGAGAAACATTTTTTAAGTATAAAGCTTAGAAAGGTTAAGGTGACTAAATAATTAAAGACAAGGCTACATCTCATAAAAATGTTCACAAGAGTGCTAGCAAAAGCAGCACTGGTAAGTACTAGAATTTGTGATTAGAATTGTATTAGCAATAGGAAAAAAAGCCAAACGATCAAAACTCAATAGTCTCTCAACTCCCTATTTAAGCTGTTTGTAACACTGACATACAAAAAAATTCCAAGTTACTTTAGTTCAAAACAATTAAGAGCAAGTTTCAGTCTCACAAATGTATAGTTTATGATGCAAATCCATCCATACCCTAATACATTCTCATCTTCATTTATGAGTAAACATTAAGAGTGATTTTGTTTTAATTTTTAACCATTAGTGATAGGTCGTCATCATGGAACAGTGTAAGGCATCATTTATTAAAAAAGGTTTGGTTTTACTGAAGATGTATTTTGGAGTTTCTGAAGGTTCGGAACTCTTGGAATGTGCTTGCTATGATAGTGTTGTTGCTAGGATAATTCCAAGTATCAGAAGCAATACAGTTACACATATAATTATGAACATCAATTTCTGCAAAAAAGAGAGAAAAGTTGAGATTCAAATACCCTGTCAGATACAGAACTGTTTAAATACATGCATAGCCACAGAAAATTAATAAATACTGATACCTAATCTGAGTGTTTCAATTTTCTTTCTAAAGAATACTTAGTGCTATCATCTCCTAGTCTTTCTAGTCTTTCTTTTCTAACATACATGTAACCATAGTTACAAGATAGAGCTATCTGTGTTAACATTTCTCTATTTTGCTTCACAGAATAATTGTTATTACTCATACCCAACTTCTGTAAATACCATTACGTATAGAAACATGCAATAGTGAACGTTTACTTATAAAGGTCAAGTCTAAGTACAGTAACACTGCTTACTGTCACCCTCCTTGGATAAATATTTGTAGCCTGCTCAAACCTTTACAATTGTATGCTTAGTGGAATTCAATAAAAAGTCAGTAAAAACATTGTGTAGGTAATAGCTCAGAAGAGCTGCAAGGAAAAAACAAAAACAAAAAAAAGAGATGGGTACATGCAAAGTCTCACATTAGGTCAGGTATTTCTGACTACAAGCAATGATACAGTAAACCCTCTTATCTGCCCATAAACCAAAGCTGCAAAGAAACTAACATCAAAACTAAAAACTTCAAAAAGTGTTAGTACAGAACACTGAATTCCCAATTAGGTGTCTAAAACAACATCCCGCTCATAGCGCTTCATATATAGTTTGAAGATACTGCATGTAAAAAGTTGAGTTTCTATTGGACTCAGAAGAATTAACTGCTGTTTTCTACTTAGCCTGGCTAGGTGTTATCTTGACAAGAAATGGTAGATTAACACAGAAAAAATCTGAAGATTGAAAGAATTCTCAAATTTATGTCCTAAAATTCCAATTGAAGTCTTTTTAGATTTCCTTTTAAAAAATACATTATTTCCCACTGTTTCATTTAGTCTAGTATTAATAAACAGCTTCAAAGTAAGAAATTTTACGATGTTCTGCAAGACATAATAGCCAACTTCATGGTTGTACAGCTCTACTTAAAACCATAGTAAACCCCATTTGATAAACTTCCCAGTGTAACTAGTATTCCATGTCTTAGTGTAGATTATCTGCTGATGTGAACTTTCAGTATAAAAAAAAAAGGAATGCTAGAAAATAACTAGATTTTTTGGTCTCATTTCCTTCTGTGTTTATGAGTTTTACGTAGTGACTGCATTCTGTAGATTGAGCAGCTTACCACTAGATGTCAGTTTTCAATATTCACATGCACCGCGCTTTTATAGTATGCAGAGTCAGAGAAGATCCACCAATGCATCTCAAACCGACTCCCCCATAACTGTACAGATATTAAGGGTTAGTAGAACAATACAAGTTACCAGATAAAAACAAGAGCAAAATTAGTTGATTAGTTACTTACTGCCACACTGGCAGGAAGTCATGCATGCTGAGGTTATCCAAGCATCACGGAATACCAACAGACAAACCAATAATTAGACCAATTATGGAAATCAACACCAATGACACAATGATAATTATCCACATTTTCTGTCAAAAAACAAGGTATTATTATTTTAGTATTAAGCACAATAAGACTTGCATTTATTTTCAATTTTTAAAATACTCAGGTTTTAGATCACATTTGTTTTTATTAAAGCCTGCAGTATTCTCAAATTGAGATAAATGTACCTGTATACTCATGCATAAGAATAAACAATTTTAAACAATGTTTACAGGTTAACTAGTATGATTAATACCTATATAGTTACCAAAGATGAGAAAACCACCATTTACAAACACATTAAGTGGGCTCTTTTGACACTTAAATAATATTTTTAAATGTAACAAGTATGTAGATAGGTAGATATCTGTCTATCTATATAAAGATACATTATTCTCTCAAATCCAACTTGCCATAAAAAGCCTCACAAAATTGCACAGCATCACAAAAGGGGAAATTAGGTCAGAAGAACAATTCAGTCACTGCAGCCATACAGTTACAAAATACAAAAATAAATGGCTTAGTAGTTTGATTTCAGAATACATCATTTGGCTTTCTGAGGGGAAGAGAGATATTGAAATACAAAACAAGTTTCCACACCAATGGAAAATCCCTGAACCTTACTTTGAGCTCAATTCCTCTACAAAATTGAGCATCACAGTTTAACGTCACACCCTTTCCAGAGGGAAGACGCCCCTAATTTAGTACTTTTACAGGAGTATAAAAGTAGTTACCTGTAAAAGGAATAATTACAGATGGAATTCTAAAAAAGTAAGCCTGCTTCAGCAAAATCAATAATTTTATTTTTCCTGCTAACATGGAGATGTTATAGCTATAAATCCAGGTAAGTTTACCAGTGATAAAGACCCAAAAACCTTTAAGCTCAGAGTCTGAATAATTTAAGGTCTTATGGTAGTTGATGAGAAGAACCTGTGAATTTATCTACTAGCATAATAATTCTTCTTTTGGGGTTTTTACACTCTGTAACAACAGTTTAAATGGAAATTGTGAACATAGCCATAGTTGTGCGTGAATTACTTATTTTTGTAGTACAAAAAGTTTCTGTCCTCTACTGGGAATATCAATTTTTAATATTAACTACAAAAAACCCCAACCTTATATTGGAAACGTTCTGATTTCTTTCAGATAACTTTTGTTTGTAAAATCCTCTGGTAAATCTTCCCCTGTCATATACTAATTTATAACAACATCTTCTAATCTAATTTTAAATTTTACAACTACAAAAGAGTAAAATGTATGTATTAGTTCTACCTTGAAGGACTGAATAAAGCAACAACAAAAAAAATCAAGTAAAATTGAAGGTCACTTCATACTGTGTTAAATGAATATACTGGCTAGCACAATTACAGAAAGACAGCATACCCTTCGTGCTTTACTTTGATATTTAACTGCCTTTTTTGTCTCTTCTTTTGCATGTTCCACATAATCTGATGCATTCATCACGTTCTTTTCTATGTTGTTGATCATTTCACCCTTAAAATGAAATTTTGAAGAAAAAAATATTATTGGAATCCATGGATCCTTGTTTAATGAGCCTAAGAGAAGAAAAGCTATCGAACGTCAACAATTGTTTAAAACAAAGTGAATAATGTACATATTAGTGGCTGACTTTTTTCTGCTTTGATGTGTAAAGGAAAAAGGGAATGAGAAGCAAAGGCTCAAAGTTCTAACCAAACAACGAACATTCATGGGCAGGGCAGGCATGTTTCTCCCTTTTGCAGGAACAAATACTGAACACCTGAAAACATACCTTTGAATGCAAGGTATGTTTTAACAGCCACGACTAAAAATGACATACTAAAGAGATCAGAAATCCTTGATGTGCCTGGAAGTGGGAAACGATACTGACTATTTTAACGCAAGGTTCAAGAGTTATCTAAGAAAATGCACACATATAATAGCAACTTCTAAAGTTCCTCAGAAATGAGGGTTTAGAATGTCAATACATAACAAATTCAAGTTAATTATGATGAATGAAATTTGGTAATGAAATGGAGGATTGGTGAAAAATTACAGGAAGTCTATTACCTGTGTTTCTGTCCATCAGAAGAAATACTCAGCAGCAGTAAACAGCAAAGCATTAAAGAATGATGCACAAGTAACTTTTGTTCACTTTTAATTCAAAAGAAAACTGCTACCAATTTGCCTTGGCTAAATATTTAATATCAAAGCAACACGGAACTTCTAGAACAAAACCCAATTAAAAAAAAAAAGTTCTTTTCAGGAAAGCTTCTCTCCTGAACATTATTCTTTTCACTTTCCTGCGTAAGTCAAAGAATTGTAAGAACAGAAGTTAAAAATTTTTTGCTTAGATAACTGGGATGTAAAGACTACAAATCGAATTAATTTATGCACATGTCAAGACAAACATTATGAATGAGACAATTTGCCTGACTTGTCAATCCCTTTACATTCACGTTAGTTGTAACAGTAATCGTAACTTTGTAGTATGCACAAGCTGCGTACATCCTTGCTAATGCACATTTTATTTTATCACAGTAGTCCTTTACCATGTCTGTGAGAATCCTATATTCCCAAGATATTAGCCAACATTCCAGGAGACAGCTGTTCTTTCTTAAACACACACAACATGTTCAAGCATATTGCAATGTAAGCACGTTGAAGAAAATATTAAGTATACTAACTGAAAAGAAAGCCTATGCTTAGTTATTTATAGCATATACTACAAGCACATCTAGATATGTTTGTCTAAAACAGAACAAAACACCTTTAGTGATTAACTTTCAGATATTCTAATCACAGTCAAAAAACACTAGGTCTGTATTATCTGAATATAAGCAATTGTTTCTGCATATTTCAAAGAGGAAGACTGGGGGAAAAATTCCCACCACATAAAGGTGTTTGAGTTGGTTCATTTACCTGAGTCTCAACAAACATTGCCATATCCATAAACATTTCATGTAGTTCCCGTATGCTAGATTCCAGTTTCATAATATCCTTGTGACGTGACTCAATTTCATTCAGAGCTTGCCGAGTTATTTGAGAGTCTGATATAATCTTCAGGAGAACGAAAAAAAGATATGGACATAAGTATGTGCTGACACATTTCTAAATAGCAGAAGCAGCAGAATAGGAGACACACATAACTGGACCAGAAATACATACATCAGAAGTGAAAATTGAAGGATTACCACTCTCTAACATTTCTTCCAGTTCCTCATCAGTGGTGGTCTTTCCAGCTAGGATAAAAACAACAGTACTTCATCACTTATTCGTTACGGAACATAAAACTCTACCATACCAGAAGGATGACAATTCAAAGAGAATTCTCATATTCAGCATTTTCCACAACAAAACAAGGTAGTGTTTAGCCATTACTGACTGCCATTTTGCATATGAAAATCAGAAAGTATCAAGTGATAGCAGAAACAAATGTAGATTCAAAGCTACGATGAAGAATTCCTCCTGGTTAGTGGTGGGTTTTTTGTTGCTGGTTTTGTTTTGGTTTTTTTGGTCAAGTTCGATTAGAACCATTTACAATGTTCATATGAACCTTGCTAAATTGAGTGTTCTTCAGAAGGAAGAACTTGAGATACAGAGTATTTATATACCATTCAATATTTACCTATTCAATCATGTCACATTGGCACCTAATTTACTTGCTCGCCACCACTGCATGGGCAATAAAATCTTCATGTAAATTTGATTTTACCAACACAGGATTACATTCATATTCCACATAGAGAACATGATTACCCACAGTGTACCTTCATTTCTACTTTTCATATGACATTTAACAATTGATGTAGTTTATTGCATGTTTAAGCAAACTGAATCCTATTGATCACACTGGTATGACAAACACAAGTGTTACGAGTTACACAACACATTCAAGTGATTTGTATGGTACACTTTTACAAATTACATATCAAATCTCTGTTCTTTCCATGTAAAGTAAGTTGAATATCTGTAATAACTTACGTAATTCTGTCCTAGCAGATGAAAGTTACAGTTTGAATATTACTAATATTAGTAATTATATTACTAA